AAAAAGCAAAACAAGGAAAGGAAACGAAGAAAGGAAGGAAAGCCCCAACTGTTCATCACCTCTTACGTACAAGGCCAGCCACGTGGATGACAGGTTGAGCGCTGGCTGCCCCCATCCCCGTGTGTCACAAGGACCCACTTGCATGCAGCCAAAAGGCAAAGAGGTAAAGAAAAGGAGGAAACCAAACCTGACAAGGAAAGAAAGTGTATCAGACAGACAAAGCAAATGAATCCGATTGTCACAAAGCAAATACCACATCCCATAGATCAACATATTTTTTCTTTTTGATATTTTCTTATTTTCTCTTTTTTTTTTTTTTTTCTTTCACATTATATATATATCGTCATATATATATATATATATTTGAAAACATGGTTGGACTGTGCTCACCGAGATCTCCCGAATCCGCAACGAAAACTTTGAAAAAGAGAAGTTTCGTTTGGGGGGTTGGTTGGGGGAGGGAGGAGTATTTCAGGGGTTGAGGGTGGGCGGTTGGAGGGGTTATGGTGAGGGTCTTAGTGGGGTTTCGGCAAGCACGTGCTTCAGCAGACATTGACAACAGCGTACCTGGCTTTCTGCAAACGTTAACCGTCCGCCCAAAACTTTGAAAAGGGGGCTGGGGGTGTTAGTGGCAGGGTAGGGACGGTACTTCCCACCCAAAAACTTTGAAAAGGGAGGTGGGGATTATAGTGTTAGGGGGTGCTTGTCACTGCTGTCTGGTCCAAGTTGCCCTCGATACTGGTAGGGTGATGGTCCTGAGTGCTGGTCACACTGAGGTAGGATAGTAGGGATCAGGACAACAACCGGCTGCCGCTGCCAGTGATCACCGTGGGTCTAATCCTTACACCCTGGGCTTGTAAGAAAAAAATATTAAAAAAATAAAAATAAAAAATAAAAAAATAAAAAAATAAAAAAATAATGTGCTACAGCCAACTGAGGGGGAACTGGCCCGGTCAACCGGCCGGTACGACCGGTCCGGTTCCAGTTGGGGGAGGGGCCCCCGGTCCTGCCGGGTTTGCAGCACTGAAAAAAAATGGATTAGTGCAGACTCACAACAGTACCTTCCCCCAAACACAACACACCCTTCCAATTCAGTAGAGTAAGGATGAGGGTGTAAGTGTTCAGGGGAAGACTTCCTGACTTGGAGAGGTGCAAGTTCTGATACTCAGGGAGGTGATGCTACTCGCACGCACTTCTATCCCCGCTAAACTCATTTATCTTGCTTCAAAAGTCAGCAGCTTTCAGGGCCACCGGTAGCCATTTTTTGGCGGGCACCCCTGGAGAACCCCTCAAACCCTATGCGGGGCACGTGCGCAACTTGCGCGCATGTGATGCGCCACATGTAAGGTCCAGATACATTCAAAATATTGGCATTTGGCAAGTGGTGTGGTGCAGCCAATAGTCAACTCCACATTGCTCTACCTTTCCCTTTCTGTTTCATAGTCTGAGTTTCTTTACCTTTTTCTTTCGCTTTCCACCTCTCACTCTGTGTTTCATTTCTTTCACAAATTGTGTTTCTACCCTCTTTTTGTCCCTCCCTTCTCTACACCCCTGGCAGGTCAAAATTCTTGAAGATTGAAAAAAGGAATTGATAGTAGAGATGTCAGGACAATCAGCGTGCCCACTGCATAAGGGTAACAGAAAGAAAGAAGCCGAGAAGCCGGGAAAAGAGCATGGAAACATTGAAAGACTATGCTGGAAAGATAGCAACAGCACGTACCTTGAATAGGTAGCTTTCCGGCTTCAGGTTTAGAGCTGCATTCCCACCGAACTCGAAGTATACTTCCGGAAAATCCCTCTCTAGCTCTGAGGCATTGCTATAAATAGGCAATCATCACAATTACAAACGACAAAATACACAATAGGCAAACACAGATTGTGGGGCAGAGAGAGAGAGAGAGAGAGAGAGAGAGAGAGAGAGAGAGAGAGAGGGAGGGGGAGAGGG